CCCCGAGGGCCAGTTTGACTCCTTCGTGGTCCAGTACAAGGACAGGGAGGGGCGGCCCCAGGTGCTGCCTGTGGAGGGCGGCCTCAGGGAGGCCCGGGTCTGGGGCCTGGACGCCGCCCGCAGGTACAAGCTGCTGCTCTACGGGCTGCACCAGGGCAGGCGCGTGGGGCCCCTCTCGGCCTTCGCTGTGACAGGTGAGTGTGGCTGCCGAACAGACCGTCCCGCCTCCCTCCAGGCTCTCCCCCTCTCCCAGCCTCGCCATGTCTGAACTGTCTGCATCCCTTTATTTGGGGAAAGGGATCTTTCCCCAAATAAATATATGGAGATAAATTTACATACAGTAAAGTTCACCCACTTAAAGGGAATAAGTCAATAAGTTTGGGCAAATGTATGTCATAAAAGCATTACCACAACTGAGCTGTAAAACATTTCTCTGAACCTGAAGTCTGCTGCCCCCTGGCAGTCAGTGCCGCTAGCCCAGCCTCGGGCCCCACGGCTGCGGCCACATTATGCCTTTTGGAGATTTCATTTGCAGGATCCCACGACACAGTCTTTTGTGTTTAGCTTCTTGCATTTAGCATCATGCATTTGAAATGCCTCACTGCGCGTAGCAATAGTAGGCCCTCTTGGTCACCACTTACCTCCACCCCTGCCCTCCCCTTGGACCTGGGGCGGCGACAGACCCATCACCCGCCTCTATCTGTGTCTCTGAACCAGCCCCCAGGGAGGACAACGGAGCTGAGACCACAGCCCCAAGCCCTCCAGAGTCAGAGCTCCAGCTCGGGGAGCTGACCGTGGCCGAGGCCACCCCGCACACCCTGCACCTGTCCTGGACGGTCACGGAGGGGGAACCGGACTCTTTCGAGGTCCAATACACAGACCAGGATGGGCAACTCCAAGTTGTCAGTTTAGGGGGCAACCAGAATGACATCACCCTCTCGGGCCTGGAACCCAACCACAGCTACCTGGTGAACGTGTACGCTGTCCGGGGCCCCCAGCGTCTGGGTCCCATCCAGGTCAAGGCCCTGACAGGTGAGCGAGAGGAGCGGCCAACCCTGCGTCCTGCACACAGCAGGAGAGCCCCCAGGAGAGCAGGGGCCCGGGACCCGCCCTCTCTCAGGTGCTTCTCTCCCGGTCTCTTCAGCCCCAAGGGAAGAGGAGGAGGAACCGTCAGAACCTCCTACCACGACCCCTGAGCCTCCCG